CGCTTCAGCTAAAGGATATACATTCTCTTTCATGCTGATGTGTGGGTCCCACCTACTTGAGTGACAAACAACACATTCCCTATCTTATGCTGCTGCTCCGTGCTTATCGGATGATCCAGTAAAATGGCGGGCTATCCGGTAGTCTCTGTCCTGTGTTGAATCGATTAAGTTATTGAACCGTGGATACTAATGGTCGATGCATCACTTCCACATTGCTGATTATTATGATGGGGCTTGTTATGTTGGAACATCTACAAGGATTGAATGATCATTTAAGTATTTTGTTGGGCTTTGTTACGTTGTAACCATGAAGTTTGCCTAGAATGAACAATCATTTGAATGCAAAACTATGATCTTCTAAGCTATTATGGTGTTTATTCAGCAGCTTCGGCCTACAGGGCCTAATTCCTGGGATGTGCCAAAGAACCAGAAATTTGTTCTATTTGGAAGACCTAGGTACCACCAAAATGCAAGTTCTTCTCATGGTTCATTATATATGCAAAACAAAACTTGGTGAACCGAGACATGGTTGTCACAGCATGTCTTGCCCCTTATGCAGGCATACCATGGAGATGTAACTCTATTTGGTGGTAGGTTGTAGATGCAAGCTACATTGGGTCAAAAAAAGAGAATTTGGAGCTACACAGTGGAACGAATTCACAACCAAGCCTACGGCCGGAGGAATGGCTGCGAAATGAAAATGCCTTCGGTTGGTAGACTAAAATTACCACCATGGCAGATGCCCTCCGCAAGGTGGTTAGGAGTATCACATTCCTTATCATTTGAGAGATTTGGAAAGAACAAAATGCAAGGGTGGTTAGGAGTGTCACATTTCTTATCATTTGAGAGATTTGGAAAGAACGAAATGCAAGAATCTTAAGGAAGTATATGAAACAAGCCCTCAGCCATGTATCCTTTTTGCACAAATCAAAGCGGAAGTGGGGTCCTGGATTGCAGCATGAGCAAAAAAAAGTCTAGAGATTTTACTGTCAAAGAAGTAATCAACTTTTATTTTGTTTTCCTGTTAAAACAGGCTGCCGGTTTTTCCTCTTCTATATCAAATGAAATAGGGACACTCAGAAGAGGAGGAGCACAGAGATGGAAGGTGTGCGCTCCTCCAAATCTAAGTCGTCCACTCTCCCCGCGGTGCGTGCTGGTAACGACACGTGCCCTCCTTCCTACCTCGGATTTGGAAGCTGGAATTTTGGAGGCCACTAAATCCTACCTCTTGGTGCTTTTATCTCCTGGCGCCCCTGCTCCACTACCCAAACACAAAGCCACTGCCTTCGTTCCTCCTGCAAACGCCTGCTTTCGTTGCTTGTCCGCCGGCCATCGAGCGGCTGTCTACCGTGAACCGATCCGCTGCAGAAGGTGCGGGGCCTTCTACCTCATGAAGCGCGACTGCAAATCACCTGTTTGGCCACCCCGCCAATCCATCCTAGGGTCCCGCTGCCTCACCATCCACCATCGTCCTATCTAGGCGCCGATCGATGGCTAGGGCAGGCCCCGCTCTCCACCTCCCTCTACCCCGGCGCAGTTGCCACCTCCCGCGGGTGGGAGGCCAGTGCCGACGCTACCCCTAGGCCCACTTGCGACTATCGACGCTACTGTAGACACCCCGCAGCCTGCAGGATGACTTCGGCTCGGTGACCTCCACAGAGGTGGACTCAGATGGCTCTTCCTTCCGCCACGACAACAACGCCATCCCAGACCTCGACAAAGACATCCTCTGGATGTCGGAGGATGATATGGATAGGGCTGCAAGGTGGCCTACGCATTCCTCAATGTGAATGCCCCCGTCGATGCTCCCACTCCCTTCATCAGAGCGGCCATCTTCTTGGTCGCGGATCGGGTCCATTTTCGCTAGTTCCCAGCATCCCATGGCTCTATGCTTCTACGCTTTCATTCTAGAGCCAATCGCGACGGCGGTGGCCGACATGGCCCCCATTGCCTGTGATGGCGGCCATGTAAAGCTGGAAAGGTCCGAAGAGACAACCAACCGCTTTACCATCCAACAACCATGGCTCGTCACCATCTCCGCCACAAGCTTCCCCGACGAGAGCAATTACAACACACTTACTTTTGTCATGTAGGCTGAAGTATGGGGGATTTGGCTTGTTGGGCAAGCAAGCCCTTTGCCATTTCATCTATGGCGCTATATTGTCCCATATTGTCTTCTCATTGTACATCACTAGGTTTAAGATGCCCCTATGTTTAATCCATCTCAACCTGCAAGTTCATACCTCCATCCTATAAAACAATTTTGTAGTTAGACATTCACCTCCATGTTGTAAAATAATGCATTTCTTAACGAAACTAACATGGTCCACAACATGATATATATGCCTGCTGAGGACGAACTTTTGGTAAAAATGATACAATTCCTTCAACTCGATCCATGACATCATTTGCCTCGATTGGTTGACGCAGACGCTATCCTTGACTAATCATTGGCGCCTGCACAATACTCAAGCTATAAGATTCTTCCAAGAAAGAGTTGTCTCACCTACGAATATGCACATGGATTACCTCCTCGTCGTTTTACTCGAGGTTGAGTAATGATGATAGCAACCCTCAGCCACTACTACTTCAATCAAAGTGTCAATCATACCATCGTCATCAGCACAATTTCCTCAATGATGAGAACTGAACCGGGTAAGTCATCCCCTAATTTGATTGTATAAGTCCTAATAAAAAACAATGGCCAGGTGCACAACATTCAAAAAAAATTCCACACGAGGCAACTCCATTTTCATTATAGCATGTAAGAGCCCGGCAGGGGAGGGGGCTCTAGGTGGTGGCTAGGGTTAGGGAGGTGGGCTATGGGCAGCGGCACATGGAGAGGGTGGCGACACTAGGGCAGAGGGAGAGGAGGAGTTGGCATAGGAGAGGGAGAGGAGAAGGGAGAGAGGTAGGGAAGCCCTTAGGCCAATCTTTCTTCATTCCAATGATTACATAGCCCCTCTACTTATAGTCCTGGGAAGACTTGCATCCTAAGTAATCTAATGAGGGAAGTCCTTATAGATATGGACTTCTTTCTATCTCAGCTAATCCTATTCCTATTGGAGATCCTCCGGATATGGATAGTGGAACGGCGGGGGGGGCGCCCTTGCTGTGTGTGCCTCCCCTATGTGGCGCTGCTGCTGCCCTTGACGACAGCCCCCTTGGTGGTGGCGCCGCCGCTGCTGTTGGCGCCTCGGCCATATGGGCCTTGAGCCCTCGTTGGGCGTATGACATCACTCCCCCCTTCTCCGATCAGCGTGTCCTCACGCTGAATCATTTGCCAATCTTTGACACCCTCCGGCGAAAGTCTGGTCCCCCAGGGTATCTCTACAATTTGGATAGTGAGGTGGCCCATAGTGTCGTTGAAGTCATTGGTGCTGATGTGGTAGTCGAAGAACTGCAAGTAGTAGCTGTAGGAGCCAAAGTAGCCAGAGATGTAGTAGCTGTTGGTTCCTGTCTTATTGATCGGCTCATTGATGCAGCGTGCAGCATAGATGGCGGTGCCTAAAAGCGTTCCAGGGAAGTGTAGCATTTGCATTGCCCGTGGCGGTCACGGGAACGAGTGTACCTGGGCTGCATCAACTTGCGCCATTATACGTCGGCATAACGCTGATGGCACGATGGTTGGTGGTGTCGTGGTGAAGTGCTGGAGCGTGCCGAAGAGGAGGTCGCCGGTGTCATAGTTGGCCGGGGAGACCAATGGGTGGACGTCGGCATAACTTTTTGCACTGAGATCTGTTTGTTCTTTGCAAAGGAGAGAGCTCAGGGGCTGAGAGAGCCTGTGGCTGATTGACCCACTTGTCATGCCAAAATAAAGAACTTTCTCCACTTTCCACATGAGGCCTGGCTATAACTTTGAAGTCAGGAATATCTCTCCGCTAAAATGAGCCCTTTCTTATGTGAGTTGGAAGTTTCCCATTTCTGTAGTGCTTTTCACAGATCAAGTGAACCCAGGGCAAGTCAGATTTATTGAAAAATTTATGAAGATTCTTGCTGAGGAGTGCTTTGTTTTACTTTTCAATGTCAATTTACTCCTAATCCTCCTTCCTCTTTTTGTACACAGACTATTTTCCAGGCTGCCTTTGGAGGCTTCTTTGCATTTATATCTGAACCCCTCCATAAGCAGTGCTTCCTATACTTGTCAATTTGTTTGATGACAGCCTTGGGCAGGGCTATGGAGCACATAAAAGAAGGTCGGCAGCGAAGAAAATACAACATTTGTCAATTGTAGCCTTCCTGCTCTCTAAAACTCATTTTATTCTCATAAAACTTTGATCATCTCTCTTTATTAGTATAGTATCATGTTAGCATATTTGCTAAGTTGATAGATTATTTAATTTTAATGAAACTCTCATGAAACCTCCACTGAGACCGCCTTACGATTCGAGCTGTTGGGGGAGCATTATTCATGCATGGTCTAGGGTTTTATTAATTCGACATGTGTTTATGGTGTAAAAGAGTGAGTGATGTCGGGATGGATGGGAAGAGATAAGGATCACAATGGCAATGTAGGTACGAAAGCGCATGGGAACTGGGAAGCATCATCATCCTAATTAAGGAAATTTTCCCATGCCCGTATCCACGTGCATTAGCTCGTAAAGAATCTCTAAGTCCAATCTGTATACGTAGTCCAAGCAATTAAGTAATTGGTGTTCTGATCAAGATAAAAGAAAAGTACGTTTTATCTCGTGAACATGCAAACTGTACTGATGATATCATAAAATAAACTAGCTACACTTCATCGTCGGTGGCGTTCGCGTTGAACTTGAGGCAATGTAATAATGCAAGTTGATGTGTGTTGGATCGTGTAGCATGCAAGCTAGCTAGCTAGGTCACGCTGGCTGCTCATCTATAAATACGTATATGTGTATGCCTTCTTTCCAGCATTACACACAATACAAGGCACATTATACACAAGAGATCGATAGATAGTGCATAGCTAGCTAGCTTGCATTCGTTAACTAACTTACTAGATCAGCAAAGCAAAGTAGCAAGCAATGGAGAGCATCGTAGTCACTCCTCCCATGGCGAGCATCGTAGTCACTCCCATGGCTGCACCTCTGTCAGCGGAGTTTAACAAACTCACCTTCAGTAGCTTGTATATTCGTCGAACTGGTCCAGGCAGCAGGGAGATATCCATGGATGGAAAATCTGATATGGGCAAAAGATATTTCAGTGACTTCCCCATATATGATGGTCCTGCCTCCGACGCCAGCCTTGTGGCACGCGTACAGGGAGTCTCAATCCAAGCTGGTGACACACACCAAATATTCACCATCGTGTTTGAGAACGACAGGTATGTATATGTGTGAGATTTCAGTTATCTATTCGTTCGCGCGGGAGTGTCTCTGTCTATATATTCAAATACTGCTGGATCTCTCTTTCATTTTACTTGAATGTGCATGTGTTCTGCGATTCATCGTCAGGCAATGAAATCCGTTAGACTAGCTAATACGGAGTATATGTAGTAGATAGCACGTACCTTCTATCTGCTCCATGTTTCGTACGTATAAAATGATATATATAATCTGCATGCGTTTATTCCTCGATTGGCTAAGGGCATCCTCAAGAGACCCCTTCAAAAGAGAAGGAAGAAAGTTTTAAAAAAATAGAAGAAAATCGCTTGTGCACATGCATGGTAGACGGGAAGGCAGAGGAGTGTCAGTGACCATAACCTTTTCGGATTGTGTGCGAGACTGCTACTTGAGCTGGCGCTAGCGAGATCGTTTTTTACCTTCTCTCTAGTCCACGTGTAATAAAATATATTACATGCTAGCGATTTTTATAGCTGTTGGGGACGCCCTAATAATGTGATTTCCTGAGTTATATTAAATTGCCATGCTAATAAACCACATCTATAGTATACATATAGCATGTCCAGTGGTATGGCATACTACTTAACTAGTACTCCCTCCGTCCCTAAATAAATCAAGAATCCATATCAATCAAACTTTTTTTTAATTTTGACTACTTTTCTAGAAAAGAGTAATAACATCTATGACATAAAATAAGCATCTTATGAAAATATATTGTCTGGTAAATCTAATAATACTAATTTGATACTATAAATCTCTTAACATTTTTTCTAGAAATTCAGTCAAAATTTAAAATATTTGACTTAAGACAAGTCTAGGAATCTATTTATTTAAAGACAAATGGAGTACTATTCACAATGAATGAACTGATTTACCCTAGCTAGTATACAAATTAAATATACAGGTTTAAGGGCTCCACGCTCCTTACCAATGGAGTGATAACGGGTGGGTCTGATGACTGGGCAATCTACGGCGGAACCGGAGTGTTTGCTATGGCGAGCGGTGTCATAAAAAGAAACTATCTTCCCGATAGGACTGGTGGGAATTCTGATGAACTTACCATGGAAGTTTTCTGCCCGGTGTTTGGCTCGTCACAGCAGCCAAAGGTACGCAGTACGGTGAGAGAAATCTAAATTTGATATATAAAACTTTTTTGTTCTTTTGGATGTAAAACTTTGTGGATACTGGATGCAGGGCTCTATCACGAAGATGGGATTATGGGGTGGAGCGGGAGGGTGGGATCATGACATAACAGCGCCACCAAAGCGTCTGCTGAGCCTCACCATCACCACTCGCAGTGGCAGTGCTGTTGAATCGATTCAGTTCACTTATACCGACAAAGCTGGCGAGAAGCACACTGCTGGCCCATGGGGTGGAAGTGGTGGCACTTCTCAAACGGTGAGTGAGTTTTTTCCATTTGGATTTATATTATATAATATACTATTACTTGATCTTGTCTATCAACAAATATACTAGCTAATCAATATAATGATGAAAATATATATGACGCAAGCATAACTGAGATGATTGCCAAACATTATCTGCTGAATTTTTCTCTGCCTCACAGAAGCAGCGAGTGTTACTAAACATTCTGCCTATTTATCTTCCTCATGCGTGCAGATCGATCTTGACGACGCTGAGTACGTCAAGGAAGTTTCAGGAACATACAGCTTATATGGACCATATACTGTCTTAACCTCATTCAATCTTGTCACCAACAACAGAACCTGGGGCCCATGGGGCACCAAGAATGGGACACGTTTCTGCATTACCGCGCCAGCCAACAGCAGCATTGTGGGATTCTATGGACGTTCGGGAAGCCTCATCGATGCCATTGGTGTTTACGTGCGTGAATTTTGAACAGCAGGCCCAGCTACTTCCTACCTACACTTAGCTAGCTAGAGAAAGTGATGCACTCCCTGGACAATATGTTGTATATGGGGCCTCCATTGTCAGTTTGTAAAATAAAGGTCTTGATCAAAGACTGCTGCTGGGTTATTAAATCATTCCCTTTTATCAGATTTGGGGTTTTTGCATTAAACAATGCTTTATTGATGTTTATTTACTTACACCAGTTTCTGATTATTACGAGCACCAAATATGACGTACTGCCTAAATTAGTCAAAGATCTCATTTGCCAACTTCCTAGTTTCCATGTGAAGAGGTGCCCTAGGTGTTCATTGTTTAACCAAACATGTTTGTGCCTATATCGCTTGTTGGTTTCAGCCAGCCCAAACCAGCCAGCCAACAGTGTTTTCTTCTCACAAAAAACCAGCACCAGCCAGCCCAAACTAGCACCAGCACCAACCAGCGAACAGGCACTATATATGGTTGTCACTGTCTTGTGTCTATATATGGTTGTCTGTTTCTTGTGTGTCTATATGTATCATCGTCATGTGTGTCTATATGTTTGTGTCTATGGCTGTGTTTAGTTCATGAAATTTGGGAATTTGGCTACTGTAGCACTTTCATTTTTATTTGGCAATTAGTGTTCAATCATGGGCTAATTAGGCTCAAAATGTTCGTCTCGCGATTTTCAATAAAACTGTGCAATTAGTTTTTTTCGTCTACATTTAATACTCCATGTACGTATCGCAAGATTCGATGTGATGGCTACTGTAGCATTTTTTGGGAATCTTTTTTGGGAACTAAACACGGCCTATATATTGTTGTCACTGTCTTGTGTATCAAATAAAGGTCTTTGCATTGATCAAAGACTGCTGCCATGTTATTATATCATTTCCTTTCATGTATCAGATTTGGGGGTTTTGCATTAAACAATGCTTTATTAATATTTATTTGTTCAATTACACCACATTTTTTATTATCACTAGCACCAAAATATGGCGTGCTGCCTAAATAAGTCAAAGTTCCCATTTGCCAACTTCTGGATTGCCATGTGGATATTTTATATGTTCACTACTACAAAATATATTTTCACCAACAACATTTTCACTGCCGGTTTGTAATGAAACCAGCGGTGAAACTGATTTTCACGGATATAGTTTTAATCTTCACTTTCCATTTGTGTATAGCAAAGATAGCAAAAATATGCCTCGGACCTGAAATTTCGATTGATTGTATCTAATCAGTCAACTTGGTGTTCGGACTCTATCCTGCTCCCCTGTGTCCTAGGCCCTCGCTTAGTCTTCTGGGCTCTCTCTCTCTCTCTCTCCCTTCTGGGCTCCCCTCTCTCTCTCTTTCCCTCCCTCCCTCCCACCGTCAGTAGGGCAGGCGTGCAGGTGCTCTCGCCACCTTCCTGGCAATGGCACATGGGGTCCAACTTGTGATGGCACATGGGGCGAGTGTCCCCATCCAGTGATGGCGCTAGGCGGGGCCTCTCTCGGATATCGTGCATGGGGCAAGTGCCCAACTCCGACCTATGGCGCGCGAAGCAAACGCCCCACTCCGAGCAATGACATATTTCTTAATTTTTTATTTGATTTTCACCGTCGTCTCTCTAGCCGACGATAATGAAAATCCTCATCACTGCCAACTTTCACCACCGCTGAGCAAAACCAGCGGTGACGGGGTGCTTTAAACTGGCAGTGATGAAGTTATTCTAGTAGTGGTTCATTGTTTGAGTAAATAAGTGGTACACGCACAATGTTATATATGGCCGAAATAAGTGATACACACACAATGTTTTATATGTTCATTGTTTAATTAACCAGCCATGTACTCTCTCTCCCACTATTGCAAAATAATGTATGCCTTTTTAGTTTAATTTTGTCATTAAGTTAGATTGGACAAAACTGAAACGAGTTACATTTTTTAGCTGGGAAAATAGAGTAGCTTTTCCGAATACAAGGAATTGCGTGTTCTTTATGCATGCCTTCACTCATGCTTGCAGCGGTATTCCTATTGCGAAACATGTCATTAGTGGTTGGATCATATCACCCTGTCTTGTCTCACATCATACAGGCACAAACAACAAATAGATGGGCATAAGACGTAGCTGGAGCTTGTCTTCTTCATTTCTCATTCATATATGAGTACTACGATATATAGGAATGCTCCTATCATATTTAATAGACCTGAATGTTGGTAACTTCTATGTGCACAAATTGTTTCTGTACCAGTGTTCAATATATCTATTGTGTTCAAAAACGAATAGAGCGAGTAAAGGAAACCACTACTACAAGAGCGATTTGTAGCAACGTCTCTTTTTTTTTTAGGGGCAGCTCAACTCTATATTGAGCCACCCCTACAAATAGTGACCAAATGAGCCGCCCCTACAAATGGCCTGATTTGTAGACGCCGAATAATAAAAATTAAGCACTAAAATTTAAATTTTTTAAACGACCTCAGATGGATAAATGACCAAAATAAAAGTTATAGATCTCGAAAAGTTATGGAACTTTGCTATTTACAATTTTTTCATTTGAAATAATCTACTGCTTCAAAATGATGTTTGAAATTCAATTTTAAAATGGTTGAAGAACTCTGATTTCTCTTTTTAATCTGTGGTTAAAACTTGTAATTAGTTTTTTCCCTCATACTAACTTTAAATTTGATGATTTTTTTCTAAAAATATCTAAAATCATGCTCTATCAATTTATTGTGTTATTATAGCTATTATTTTATCCATCTTTTCATGCGACTGTGTTTTATCTATTTGAATTTTGAATTTCAAAAATTGAAAACTTCAAACATCATTTTGAAACATTAAATGATTTTAGCTGAAAAAGTCATGAACTATAAAGTTGTAGAACTCATCAAGATCTACAACTTTTATTTTGGTCATTTCTTCATATGACAGAGTGGTAGTAACATTGTTAGAGATGTAAATTTTGTGAATAATATTACTACCACTATGTTGGATGAACAAATGACCAAAACAAAATTTGTAGATCTTGAAAAGTTATAAAACTTTATAGTTGATAATGTTTTCATTCGAATTCATTTTGTTAAGGAAAACTACGTTTGAATTTCTTAAATTTGAAATTTGAATTTTTCAAACGACTTCGGATGGAGAAACAACCAAAGGGAAAGTTATAGATCTCAAAAAGTTATGAAACTTTATAGTTGATAACTTTTTGATTCGAAATCGTCTTGTCAACAAAAACTACGTTTAAATTTTTAAAAATTTGAAATTTGATTTTTTAAACGACCTCGGATGGACAAACAGCAAAAACGAAAGTTGTAGATCTCGAAAAGTTATGAAACTTTGTAGCTGACAACTTTTTAATTTGAAATCATCTTGCCATAAAAAACTACGTTTGAATTTCTTAAATTTGAAATTCAAAATTTGTAAACGACCTCGGATGAAGAAACTACCAAAATGAAAGTTGTAGATCTCGAAAAGTTATGAAACTTGGTAGTTGACAACTTTTTCATTTGAATTCGTTTAAGGCCTCAAACAATTAATTTATACTCGGTTTAAGATAATATATGGAGAACCAAAATCCAATATACACACAAGTGAGTATTGGGTGGAGTGATTAGAGGAGGGAACGTGCGAGCCCCGCGTAGCGCATGATTTTACGCAAAAAATGTGCGCGACATGTGGCTGACCGGTGGGGGCTTCCCCGGATTAAAAAAAAAATCATATTATTTTGGCCTAGATTTTGTGAATTTCTAGAAAATGATTTGTAGGGGCGGCTGGCCAACCACCCCTATAAATTAGCCACCTTTGGTAGGGGTGGTTTCAAGAGCCGCCCCTACTAATCATTTCAAAAGGTAGTGAACTAATCCATTTTTAGTTGTGGGTACGGTATTAAACACTAATCTTCTAAAGCATATATCTCTTATAATTCTGGCTGGCGCAGGAGCATAGATTCATGGTTTAGTGTTTAATTAATTCGACATGTATTTATGGTAAAAAAATTGAGTTATCCCAGAGATGGATGGAAAGAGATGATGATCACCAGGGCAATATTATTGTAGGTATGAAAGAGCGTGGGAATGAAGCATCATCCTAAAATAGTAAAATGAGCTGCTACGTACTTAGCACGATTTCCTATGTCGGTATCCACTTGCATTATACTATTAGCTCGCAAAGAATCTCACAGTTCCGTCTAGATAAGCAATTGGAGCTCTGACCAAGATAAAAGAAAATCAGGTAGCGTGATGAACAATGCAGTTGATGAATAAGAAGCAAGTTGATGGGTTGGACCAGTCCAATAGGATCGAGATCCAATACACAATGTGAGGTCACATAGGCAGCAACTGAGAGCCATCGTAAATTGCACTAGCTAGGTCCCTGAAAGAGTGTTATCTTATATGTGAACAAGTCAGTTTTTTAAAGTTCGACTAGATTTATAGGGAAATATTATCAATGTTTATATCTTCAAATAGATTAATTATGAAAATATCCCACAGTTCATCTAATGATACTTGTACACCTCATAAATATTAGTATTTTATCTATTTGGTCAAATTTGAGACTCATTGACTCCTCAAAAAGTAAGAATGGTATTTCAGGGACAGAAGGAAATACTCACTCCGTCCCAGTATATAAGGTGTAACTACCTCTGGTTCAAAGAAAAAAAAACGTATTTAATTCTCTCTTTCGACACTAGAACTACTGCATCGATGTACGTGCGTCTAGAGATAGCACGCCTTAGGGCAGTCCCAATGGTGTATTGATGATGGTTTCTATCCTCATTAAATGACTTGCCACGTAGGCAAAACGCTGACATGGCAACGTAATTAATGAAGAAAGAGAGCAAAAATCGTAGAAATGGTTTCCTCATGAAGAAATCAGGTCTACTCTTGACCCAATGCACCAAGAAACCATGAAATCGCCATTGGGGAGAAACCATCAGTTTCTAGGGAGCTCGTGCCGCACTCCCATTGGAGGAAGAAGATAGAGTTGGGAGAGAGAAAAAGAAAATAATTATTACTCATAGAAACCA